AGTTGGGATTTGGGGTTGTCAAGGGCTGTACCATTCTCATTAATCAGTTCCCGCACACTGCCATGGAGAGAGATGACCTTAAACACAAGCTGTGGAAGAAAATTCCAGACTGTTGGGAGTGGCATGGTCATGGAAAAAGCCATAACAAGCTGTAGCAAAACCAATAATGATTTCACCAACTTTGCTTCTGGCATTGTTGGTTTCCCAAGACAAATAAAGCGGTTTCTGTTGAGGTTATTTTAAAATCCTGGTATGACTCTTGACAAATAGAAACTGCTTTGGGGTAGGTGAAAAGCGCAAAGGGTCACTAAAACCTGTTGTACATTTTTTTTTTCAGTATTGTAAGACAATTAATTATAGTGTAAGAGTGGTGATGTTTTGGTCAAGGCTGGGATGGGCATTTCATGCTAAATCCTTCTTGTCAGTCATTTATAACTTAAACACGGATCCCTCTGGGCTGAAATTTCTCATACTTTGTCTCAGCCCAAAGCTAAATGTTTTTGGAAAGTTTGAACAAACATCAGCCAGATCCTCAGGTGTGAGGCTGCTCTTTTGCACTTCCACATTGGTGGAATATGACCATAAAGCTGGTGTAACTGACTCTCAGAGGACCATCCCTAATGCAAAGGGGAATCCTCTGGTGGCACAGAGCTGGCTTGCCTTCTGTGGCATTCCCCCATCCCTACTTACAGCATAGAGAACATAACCAGAGGAAAGGTTTAAGATACCTATGTGCTGAGGCAAATCTTCAGCTTCAGTATTGGCCCTTTGGCCAATGTAAATTAGAATAGCATAAAATCTGGTCCTATACAGTCGGCTGTTTCTGAGATAATGTTACTGTGGGCCTGATTCTGACAGTACAGTGGTGTAAATCATGGGTAACTTAATCTGTAAAATCAGTGTAAGGCAGTTCAGAATCATGCTCCTTCATTTAAGAATGTTCTTATCTTTGTACTTCTGAATCCCATTCCTAAATATTGCATCAACCTAGTTTCTCTGTGCTGATTTTATTTCAAGTTGCTGCCACCTCTAGGGTTTGCCTTAGACAGTGTTCTTCTAATCGGGGGTTTCTGTGGTGCAACACAGATTTTTATATATATAATTTAGCTTGAGATGAAAAAAGAACTGATGTCCATTAACATCTACAACTATGAAGCTACTGCTATAGGCTTCTCTGACTTTACTAGGTTCAGTGTCAGCATCAGTTTGATTGAATTCACATACCTATTTTTAAAATCCCACATGAAGAAACTAGGGCTGTCAATCACAGTTAACTCATGCAATTAACTAAAAAAATTAATTACAATTAAAAAAATGTATCTCGATTAATCACAGTTTTAATCACACTGTTAAACAATAGAATACCAATTGAAATTTATTAAATACTTTTTGGTGTGTTTCTACATTTTTCAAATATTTCGATTACAGCACAGAATATAAAGTGTACAGTGCTCACTTTATATTATTTTATTACAAATATTTGCTCTGTAAAAATGATAAACAAAAGAAATAGTATTTTGCAATTCACCTCATAGAAGTACTATAGTGCAATCTCTTTTTTAATTGTGAAAGTCCAATTTATAAATGTAGATTTTTTTTGTTACAAAACTGCCCTCAAAAATAAAACAATGTAAAACTTTAGAGCCTACAAGTCCATTCAGTCCTACTTTTTGTTCAGCCAATTGCTAAGACAAACAAGTTTATTTATATTTAGGGGAAATAATGCTATCCCCTTATTTACAATATCACCTGAAAGTGAGAACACGTTCCCATAGCACTTTTGTAGTCAGCATTGCAAGTTATTTACATGCCGGATATGCTGAACATTCGTATTCCCCTTCATGCTTTGGCCATCATTCCGCAAGACATGCTTTCATGCTGATGACACTCTTAAAAAAATAATGCATTAATTAAATTTGTGACCGAACTCCTTGGGGGAGAGTTGTATGTTTCTTGCTCTCTGTTTTAACTGCAGTCTGCCATATATTTCATGTTATAGCAGCCTCGGATGATGACCCAGCATGTTTATTTTAAAAACATTTTCACAGCAGATTTGACAAAATGCGAAGAAGGTACCAATGTGAGATTTCTAAAGATAGCTACAGTACTCAACCCAAGGTTTAAGAATCTGAAGTGCCTTCCAAAATCTGAGAGGGACGAGGTTTGGAGCATGCTTTCAGACATCTTAAAAGAGCAACACTTTGATGCGGAAACTACAGAACCCAAAGCACCAAAAAAAAAAAAAAAAGAAAATCAACCTTTGCCTGGTGGTATCTGACTCAGATGATGAAAATGAACATGAGTCAGTCCGCACTGTTTTGGATCGTTATTGAGCAGAACCCATCATCAGCATGGACGCATGTCCTCTGGAATAGTGATTGAAGCATGAAGGGGCATATGGATCTTTAGCACATGTGGCATGTAAATATCTTGCAACACCGGCTATAACGGTGCCATGGGTATGTATGTTCTCTCTTTCAGGTAACATTGTAAACAAGGCAGCATTATCTCCTGCACATGTAAACAAACTTGTTTGTCTGAGCAGTTGGCTGAACAAGAAGTAGGACTGAGTGGACTTGTAGGCTCTAAAGTTTGACTGTTTTATTTTTGAATGCAGTTTTTTTTGTGCATAATTCTACATTTGTAAGTTTAACTTTCATGATAAAGAGATTGTATTAAGTGAGTTGAAAAATACTATTTTATTTTTACAGTTCAAATATTTATAAAATAAAATATAAATATAAAGTGAGCACTGTGCACTTTGTTTTCTGGGTTGAAATTGAAATGAATATATTTGAAAATGTGGAAAACATCCAAAAATATTTAAATAAATGGTATTCTGTTACTGTTTTACAATATTCTGTTATTGTTTTACAGTGCAGTTAATTGTGATAATTTTTTTTTATTACTTGACAGTCCTAGTAGAAACCTAAGCCTTGATGTTTAATATCTCTCTTTAAAATTGTGAAGGAATTTTATTGGCTGATGAAGATTCTGGCTGTATGGAATATCAGTATAACACACAGGTCAGAAATAGATAATTGACTCTAATTAGTGTGGATGTGACTCCTCAAAAAATTTAGCCTAGCTGTTTGTTGTTTTTCCTTAGAAATGTATTCACAATGCATAACTGTCTTTATGGGTGTGATGTACCCAGAATTACAATCCAGACTAATGAGTAGCTGTGTGACAACCCCCCTCTCCCCCATTGCAGGGGCATGCACAAGAAAGAAAGGGGCATGTCTCCCCCGCCCCCATAATCATCAGGGGCACAGAACTCCTCCAGCCCTGGGGCCGTGGGGCGGGGGAAGGAAGAGCGAGCGAGCCCCTATTGGGCTGGGGGCAGAAGGGGAGGAGGGGTGAGGTGGAGGGAAGGAAGAGCAAACTCCTGCTGGGGGAAGGAGACACAATCAGTTAAATTTTTGTGCATGCCCTTGCTTGCCTTCTAACGTGGGCTACTCTTTACAATGCTTTGCTGCTGTATCTTCCATCTTGGATGCTCACAAACAGTTTCCAGCATGCAAGTCACTCCCGTGTGTGTGTGTACACACTGCAGTCTGCCATTCACACATAGGCTCTTACCAGCCTGAATTATACTTCAGATTTTTTCTCCCCAGAAATGTCTGTCCTATACTACCCAGCACTATCCTCGACAATACAAATTTATATAGGTCTGTTGTTTCATCAATGGAAATAATGTGTACACATCTTGTTACCCCAGTTAGAGTTTCCCAAACTCTTCAATTTAAACAGACTGGATTAGGTAAAACAATAAAACAAGTTTATTAACTACAAAGAGAGATTTTAAGTGAATACAAGTACTGAGGCATAAAAGTCAGAAATGGTTACAAGAAAAATAAAGATAAAACAGAACTAATGCCTAACTTAACAAACTGTGTTAAATTCAAAGTAAAGTTTTTTTCACCACATGCTCTCAATACTCTTACTGGCCAAACTTCTTAGGCCAGGACCCCTTACTCTGTGTGATGGCTGCTTCCTTTGTCCCTTCTTGTGCAGTGAATCGAGAGAGAGAGAGGAGAAGGACTGTCTTGGGATGTCTGCCCCTTCTTTTTATACTCCTTGTCCCCCCCTTTGAGAAGCATTTCCATCTGGGAGTAAAGGCGACAGGTGGTCTGTGTGGAAGGGAATGCCATGCTGTTTCTTTGCTAAAATGTAGCTTCTTTTTACCCATCTCCCTTTTCCTGTCAAAGAATGGTCACTTAGAAAGCAATGGTCTTGTTTACACCTGGCTGAGACATTAGCTTGCCCTTTGTCTCCTTTCCTGCTTGATGACTCTGATATTGCTTAAATGCAAATTAAGCAGAACACACATTGTTTTGTTTGAGACAGACCTGTTTTCCAACTTCTGTTTGGGCAGGGCTGTGGTTTGGAACATGTGTTAACACCACCATACAGTAGCATCTGATAACTTCACATACAATGTGGCCACGCATATTTTACGAGGACAATAATGACCAGCAAATTGAGTTTTCAAATAGTAGCTCACAAGGCACACTTCGTACAAAGATTATTACACTAGAGGACATGGGTATATTCTGTCAAAATGGGGTGATGGGAACACAATGTATTCAGTCCTAAAATGGAATATGATACAGAAAGACCCATTCATCTACAGTGACTTATAAATGTTAGTACACCTTGCCCGGCACTGTCATTCCACTCCCTCTTGAATCCCAAGGTCAGTCTCTCTACAATTCTGAGTAGAGTCTCTCTCTCTCTCTCTCTCGTATGGGGAATTAATTGAAACACTTCAGGAAACAGAATGTGGGACAATTATTCACAGGATACACTGAGCAGAATCTCACATTCAGTACTAGTGAGATGTTCTCTTGCCTGTTGTCCTAGGATGTCCTAGGAGTGTCATAATCTACAGTAAGTGCATATAGGAGTGAGTGTGGCAGTATGGAATAGAGTTCCTTCATGTGCAGAGTGCACCTCAGAATTTCATTTATCTGGGTATTGTCCAACAACAGCTATGTCAACCAGAATGCTCTCACCATGACTTGGGTCAGTCTTCCTGGAAATACATGAATAGCTGGAGCCTTACAGTGGGAGACTTGAAGAGCTTGATCTGTTGAAGTTTATCAAAAAGAAGATTGAGGGGTGAGTTGATTACAATGTGTAAGTACCTTCATGAGGAAAAGATACCAGGTTCTAAAGGGTTCATTAACTTAGAGGAGAAAGGCATAACAAGAACCAATGGCTGGAAGCTAAATCCAGACAAATTCAAATTAGAAATAAAGCACAATTTTTTTGAGAGAGAGAGTGAATAGCCATTGGAATAAACTACCAAAGGATGTGGTAGATTCTCCATTGATTGATATCAAATATGAATTAAAGACTGGCTGCTTCTCTGGGGGATATCCTGTAGTTGAACACAAGTTATTGGGCTTCATACAGGGGTAACTGGGTGAAATTTAATGGCATGTGATATATAGGAGGTCAGACTTAGAGCTGGCCAGGAAAACACATTTCAGTTCTGTGATAATTTGAGAATTTTCAGAGAATTTTCCATCTTAGATTAGGACAAAAAGCCAAAAACTTGAAAATGTTTGCAGAATTGCAATTCTAAAATACTTCATTTTGGAAACAGGAAACCCTAGTTATCTCTGTTTGAGGCCCAGGAGGCAAGGCTCAGTCTTGGGCCAGTGACACCTTTATTATATATAAAAGGATGCTGGCTTTACAGTCTACCACCTTGTGGTCCTGCTGAGGTAGAAAAGCAGCTTTATGCCCTGGTTTCTAATAGGACACATGATTTTTAACCTGACATTATGCCTTTAATATATCAAAATGGCCTTTTATTCCTGAAAACTTCAAAATATCTAACAGAGAATCCCATAATGGTTGTTGAGCAGTGAAATGAGCTGATGGCCACCACATGTTCAGGCTGATTGCAGTTCAGTCGAGCAGTATCAAGGAATAGTTGTAAAAAATGATTTACTGAAGCAGACAGCAAGCCACTCTCTAAGGACCAGGAGAAACAGTTCTGACTTTTGGTCCTGGCAGTATTAGTTTGGAAACTTGCCTAGGAGGCCATTTGAGAAATTAGTAAATCAGGAGACTCACGTTTGAGATCCATTAGGTTGCACAACATAGAATGCAAACCTGTCTTTAAACCACCCACCGCAGTAGCAAGGACCAGATTTTCTAGAAAGGTGAGGTAAACATGGGATGAGAAGATCTCATTCCTCCCTTGTGAAATGAGGATAGTTTGTCTGCCCCAGGCATCTACTGCAGAGGTAACTATTAAGACTCTGTGAAAGGGGTTTGTGTTGATTGCCTCACAGGTGCTTTAGCTAAGGTCAGATTTCATCCTTTTTGGATTTGTTAATTTTTGTACAGCACCCAAAGAAAATACAAAGTGCTACACAAATGTGAAAATGATCATTTTCTTACGTTATCAATGCCAGCTTTGGACATACAGGCCAGATCTGTGCTGTATTTAAAAAACCCAGTCTTCTCCATAAATAAGGAGATGAGACCATCTTTCCTTTTAAATTAGAGGTTGAACAATGTGGGCCTCTTACCCTTACTTTCCTTAAGATTAGCCACAGCAAAGGAAGGTGATCTAGTTACATCCAAAGAAAACTGAATTTGGATCCACTGGTGTCATTCAAGTAGTCCTTACTCATGAAAGCAGCCTCATTGACTTTAATGGGGATACTTGCATAAGTTGAATGTGTAGGCTCCCCCAGCACCTTTGTTTGAGTAATGTTCACATTGGAGCTTGAAGATACCTTTAATATCTGTCTGACATATAGACATCTGAAGCCACCTTTTCTCCCTTAATTTTATTCATAATTAGTTTCTGATGGCTCTCAACTGTTTTCCATATAATTTATTGTTATTAAAATAATACCTAGAGGCCCCCATCAGGAATTAAGACCCCAGCATGCTAAGAACTGTACACACATCCAGTGAAAAGCCAGTCCCTGCTCCAAAGATCTTGCAGCTTTTAAAATAACCTTTTCTATGATTTCAAACATTAGAATGAATACTTCACAGTCCCAAATTTTACCAAGAAAGAGAGACATTTTGCCACCCTTACTCACGTTGAGTAGTGTCTACAGCTGGTAAGAAAATGTTTTATTTTCTTTTTTTCCATAACAACCAGTGAGTTCTTAGCCTTCAGCAGAGACCAGGCATTAATAATCTAAGGAATCCAATATTTACAGTAGCTCTATTAAGTTCACCAGTGTTTTCAGAGTAAGGTACTACTTAATGTGAGCAAGGGTGGCAGAATCTGGCCCTCACTGGTTTTGATAGATTTAACATTTTCCCTAGGGTTTGTGTCCTTTTAAAAAATATTTCTTTTGACGTGTTTGATAATATATAACATATACACATGACCAATGAGACAAGTATTTCATGATACTGCCTCTAGGCACTTTGACGTGGTCTGACTTACACAAGAAAATGTCAACTTACTTTTTATCCAGCCTCAGTTAAATCAGGTTGTTACAGACCAATGTGATAGAAAACAATAAGCAGATACATTTTTACCATTTGGGGGTGGGATGGCAAACTCTTTTTTTCCCTCCAACTTCTGTTTACTGTGATCCACAGCACTACAAGACATGAAGGTTGGCATTTTAAAACTATTTGGGTGATCAAATCCCTATGGGAAAATTAATGGGAATTGAGCATTCAGATCTTGTAGGTCGCTTTGAAAAATCTCAGAAAGATTACATTTTTATTTAATACCCTCTTCACTAGACTTCAGGTCTAGCTGCCTAGGATTAAGCTGCTTGCCCATTTATCCCCTCCTCTGAGCAGTTGTGGGGAAGGGCAGGGAATAGAGAGTAAATGGGCAGAGCCTTGGCTCCACACCCCCTACTTGATGGCTCTCTTCAACTTCCCATGCCTTTCTCCACTCAAGTCTGTAGAGCTATTTCTCTTCTCTTCTTCTCCATTAGTTAGGATACATGGAGCCCTCCTGAATTTCCAGAGTGGTGGCTTGAAGGCTCTGCCCTTTCTGGATCCTTTATAAATGACTGGGATGCCTTTCTCTTCTCTAGGATCTTTCAGGGTAGCTGGTTGGTCCACTCTCAAATTACCTATGCTAATGTCATCTGGATGGTACATGGCTTGGCTGCTCCCCAGATGTAGAACAGCAGGCTCCCAGAATGCGCCACTGGCCTGTGGTAGGGTGCTAGCTCTTTGAAGATTTTTCCTGACCTTGTTGTTAACCTTTTCTTTTCTTCTTATCTAACTTGCTCCCTTTACACTCATCCTTAAGACAGGAACGTCAAGAAGTGTGAGTGTCTCTTTAACAGCAGGGTATGATGGGGCCCTAATCAACATATAAGAGAGAGTATTACTAGAAGGCACTCACTCAGGTGAAAGTCCTGTTGGAGAAAGGTACTCAATGAACATAGGGCTTAGTTAGGGAAAACAAGTTCTTCTGGTGTACGGTTTGTGGCTAATTTTTTCTTTATTACATTTGTTTTATTTGACTATTAATACCCTGGGATATTTATAATTTTTAAACACCTTGCACCTGTGTATTTTATGCTGAGTTCCAGGACCCTGTTCATTCCATGTAACATGAATCCCGCTGCTTCTGGCCCTTTAAAATTTAAAACATTCTGGGAGTAGGACACTAGATTATTCCAAAATCCATGATTATTAGAACATGAATATTATTCTCCAGTTGTGACCTAACTCTGGCCCTTGAGGTGCAATTCAGAGATCAACAGCACCAGCTAGTTTCCACAAAAAGGCTAGCTTGGATGGTATGTATATGTTAGAGAAGTGGGAGGACAGAAGAGGTAAAGAGAAGACTCCATGGACAAGGGAGGTGATGCCATTCTCTTTAGAGCTTTGCACTTTATAGCAAAATGACCGCTTCACCTTTTGTCCGCCTATCTTAAGGACACTTGTTTTTTGTTTTCTCCAGATCTAAACTCCATGAGGAACATAAAATTATAGTTGTAAATGTTCCTAATATTTCATGTTGCAAGCAAGCTCCCAGGAGCTTTGCTCATTTCTTTCTTGGTTTATAAATGATAATGTGTTTAGTCCATTCAGGGAGATTAGAGGCAAATTAAAAGTAGGAGCTAATTGGTTTTGGATGAAGGGCAGGCTGGTTTATATTTAGGGAGTTATAATATGTAACTGTCCATTTTGAATAATATTTTGTGTGCAGTTTCAGGCCAGAGGCTCCAACAGTGGCCAAGTACCAGGTACGTTCATCCAAGGATCTCAAAGTACTTTGCAAAGGCGGGTAAGTATTATTCACATTTAACAGATAAGGATACTGAGGCACAGACAGGTTTGAATGACCACATCTCACTGCCCCCTCAGAGAAGTATAAAGCTAACTTCTTCATTTCAGCTTTTTCAGAGCCACAACAAGGAGGAGGAGGACATGACAGAGTAGGATGTGTGTGCAGGGGTCAGATACCAAATGCCTCTGGGGAAGTGGGGAGGAATTGGTCTGTTTTGGCTGTGTAATTATTGGGGCTACCCCATACCCTAACCCCCTAGGATGCCAGTGGCATGCCAGGTGTACTACCACTCAGATGCAATCACTAGTGGTACTTCATCAGCTGGGTCTTGCAAGCACCAGCCCTGGGTCCTAGTAACCTCTCAGACACATGGCTAAGGGACAGGTTATTTTACCAGGGCTAGCAGGAAATGGAAAGTTTGCAAATACCCTAAGTACAGTGGCTTAAACAGGTACAGTTCAAGTGAGAAATAGCAGTGAATGTTTGGGTCTCTGGGCAGTCTAATCAAAACTCAGGGCTCTTCAGGCCCAGTGCCTGGGATGTCCTCTCCAGTTCAGTCTCTATTCAAGCAAATAGGAACTTGTAGGTTTCCAAGCCAGGCTCAGTTAGTATCTCTCATTGGGGCTCCTCTGCACTGGCTCCCTGTCCAGTCACTAATGCTCTCACACAGAGCTGTAATATCTGGCAGTCACAGCCTGTACCATAAGGGCTCTGCATCCATTTCTGACTCCAGGTTCTCTCCAGCTCCCTGCTTGCCATGCAGCCACTGCCTCAGCTTCCCTGCAGCTTCTCTTTTGCCATATGGCCACTGCCTTCTGACAGAACTCATCCACTTCCTGCTTCGGCACCTTTTCCCTTACCTGGCCAGGGGAAAGGGACCTGCAGTGGGAAGGGAACTGATAGGAGTTGTAGACTGATGCTTTGCAGATCCATTATAGCTGTAATCTTTTTTTATAAGGCACTTGCACACTTTGGTAATGGGCTCAGTATAATCTAGCAATTGCCATACTGGATCAAACCATCCTATCCAGTAGCCTGTCTCCAACAGTAGCCAGCTCCAGATGTTTCAGATGAAATCCTGCAGTGTGGCAGTTATGAGATAACCTGACCACAGGGAAAGTTTCCTACTAATGCTCATTAGCTAGATGTTGCTTTCTGCCCTGAAATATCAGGTTTTTTGTTTCTGATCTTTATTCTTATTCGTTCTTTACTGCTGTTACTCTGTATGATCTCATTATCCATATAAAAGTCCAACCTTTTTTTGAATCCCACTAAGCTCTTGGCCTCAGTGATATCTAGTGGCAATGAGTTCCACAAACTCATTGTGCATCATATGAAGACGGAATAAATGGCCTAGATAAGTTTAGTAACTGGCCCTTGGTTGCACAGTTAGCAATAGGGTGAGGAATGGAACTCCAAGCCAGAACTTTCAAAATTGGATGCAAGTTAAATTTAGGGTGTCTCAGTTTTTGGTTGCCGAGGGAGACCCTAGGCCTGATTTTCAGAGATGTTGAGTACCCACAGTTCCCACTGACTTCATGGCCGCTAGCCTTTGGTCTAGCCAAACTGTGCCTGGCACAGGATCTCAGGTTGGGGGATGGAGAAAGCAAAGGTCACTGAATGCTATCTTTGTGCTTTATGAATGCTATCTTTGTGCTTCATGTTGCCAGGTGCTATTCAACATGAATGAGACTATTAAAATCTGGCCCTTAGTAATTTATATGTTGGCATAACAGCTGTGATTTCTGGATAGCATAGTGATGTACTATTAGTATAGCAATTGTGATCTGTATGAAGGAATACATAATCTTTGGTTTAAACAGCAGGCTCCATATACATGAACAGGATTTACAACATATAATATTTCCCCCCCTTTCTTGGGACAAGGGAGCAAGTTCAGGTAGCACAATATACTTGTCTGATCTGAATATCAACATTTTATAAGCAGTTTCCATTCTGCTGGATTCTGTCATCCAAGGAAACTGAAAGAGTTAAGAGGAAAGTGTCCCAATTTTTTTTCAGCCCTGCAGCAGAAAGTTCCAAAGATAAAAGCATTTCTCAGCATGAGCAGACTGTGAAATGTAGTTGAAAATGAATTCTTTAATGCCAATTATATTAAGAATTTATTTTCAACTACATTTCACAGTTTGTTCATGCTGAGAGGACCTATTTTCTTTGGAATTTTCAGACTGCAGGGCTGAGTAAAATAGGTAGCTTTCCTTTTAAATAAAGTAGAAAGTACTGGAGTGAGATTATATCTGTCACAGATTATAATATTTATATTTATTCCTCACAAAACCAAAATCCTCCTAGGCATGTCTCGGATTCACATGAGGTCTCTGAGTTCTAGATTTTGCATCTGGGTATATGATTGCTTCAACCGAGAGACGTGCTATGTGCATTTAATACACTACAGCTGTGTTCCACTCCGTCAAATATACATAAAAGACAATCTGAAGCTATCAGCAAGAGAGATAGTTTAGGCAACATGATGAACTGAAAGACTAGTGGATCAACCCATGACATTTGGGTTCAAATTTGGAATTTTTTTCTCCATCTGTGATGAATGTTTATCTCCCTCGCAAAAACACTGTTCCCTCTTGATTAGGAGTTAAGGAGCTTGAGCTAGCTTGATGGCTCTTTCAGAGGTCAACTGTAGCTTATGCTCACTACAGTGGGTCAAGTTCCATCTTTTCTGGAGGGTAGCATTGCTTAAAGCACTGCAAACCCTGACCACTTTGGGCAGCTGTCACCACCCCAAATACCAAGGACACCGACAGCTTTGCACAGCTGAAATTCTTGACAAAAGAGCAATGAAACTACCATGCTTGCCTGCCCAAAACTCCTAGTGACTTCAGTGGGAGTTTTAAGTGTGCAAGGATTCAGGATTCACTCCCAAATGGTTCATTTACTAAACTCTTGGGAGATATCTCATGCAGATATGTGGTCAGAATTTATAATTTAGAATCAGGACTATTCTTCTTAGGCCAAACCTGAAACCCTTTCTCAGTTATATTGGCATAGCTACATTGGTCGGGGGCATGAAAACACCACAGCCCTAACCGACGTAGCTATGTTGAAAAACTCCCCACTGTAGATGCAGCTATGTTGATGGGAGAATGCTTCTGATGACGTAGCTAACATCGTTGGATGGAAAAATACCTTCTCCTAGTGTAGTTTGCGCCTACACTATGGGGCTATGCCAGCACAGCGTAGACATACCCTCAGTTTTACTTAGTTCTTTTTTAACATCCCCATGTAGATTATCAACAGGATTTGAAGTGAGGACCTTCAGCATCACAGCAGAGGACTAAAAGGAAAAATCCATTAACAGGTAGCCTCTATGGAGATGGTACCTTCTAGTTGGCTAGCCACTAGGGGAGGATGCAGCACACAATTTGCCAGCATGTTATACTTGCTCAAGGAAAATTCCTGAAAACACTTCAGTGGGAATTATGCCAGAATAAGAGCCAAGTAAAGAGTGAATAAGGACTTCAGGATTTGGCCCCTTGTGGATATATGCCCATAACTCCCCTTAATACCAATGAGCATTTTATGCTCACATGGTAGAGTAGACACCTCTAATGTCTAACTACCAACAGAGCCCTTACAAACCTCATTCACAGTTACAGTCAGTGGAAATAGTTGACACTGGGCCCACCTCCTTATAATATTACAAAAAATTATAAACTTTTTCCTTGAAACCTTATTGTTGGACAAATTTGCATTCCAATATAAATGTAGGCCTACCAAATCACACAGAAAGCAGTCTGATAGGGATTTTTTTCCACTTCTGATGTTACACTGACCTCTAGAGGTGCCAGGTATTATGTCTTGCTAACCTTTCAGGGTTTTTTTTTTTAGATTCAAATAGAATTATAATAGCCTGACTTACATCTATGAAAGTCATGAAAGGTTGAGTTTGGAATGGCTCCCCATCATTCATGGAGCAGCATATATTACAGCAGATTGTGCAGTGTTAGAGGACTACTTCATTACCTCAGCACATTCAGTCTCTATATAAGATAATAGGCACCTTAGAAACACCCTCTGAGGATATGTCTATACTACCTGCTGGATCGGCTGGCAGCGATCGATCCAGCAGGGGTCAATTTATCGCATCTAGTCTAGATGAGATAAATTGACCCCCGAGCGCACTGCCGTCGACTCCTGTACTTACCTGAGCGAGAGGTGCAGGCGGAATCAACGTGGGAGCGTCAGCAGTCTACTCACCGCAGTGAAGACACCGTGGTGAGTAGATCTAAGTACGTCGACTTCAGCTACGTTATTCACGAAGCTGAAGTTGCGTAACTTAGATCGATGCCTCCCTCTTCCCCCCCCTTCCCCTCTCCCAGTGTAGACCAGGCCTGAGAGAGTGTGTTTTCTTGCTTTTGTGGGTTTATGCCAGACCTTTTGGCCCAGATTCTCCTATGTTGCTCCTTGCATGGTCATTTACCCAAGTGCAATGTGGGTGTAAAATGCTTCTGTTCTCATCTGGTAGTACTTTACGATCTTAATCTGTCGCTGCCTCAGCTCCCCATCTGTAACATACCACTACTTCACTTCACAGAGGTAATGTGGAAATAAATCAGTTCCTGTCTGTGGAGCACTCAGATGCTGTAATGATGAGTGCCACAGAAAAGCTAAGGAGGCACTTCATAATTCTGTATTCAGAGCAGGATGTCAGTAAGGCCCGGGGGCCATACATTGAACAGGAATGAAAAAAAAAAAAGTAGTTGCTCATTAAGAGCTTGTCTCAGAGGTGACCTGTGCTGGCCCAACAGTGTGGGGGACAGATCGCGGGCAGCCAGCTTCAGCAGTGTTACTGAGCACGCTCAATCCATGTGAGCATGCTCCGTACAAGCCAAGCAGTAAATCAGGGGGAGGGGGGAGGAGCACAGGGGTGTGAATAACCCACACCCCTGAGCAATGTAAGTTACTCCGACTTAAGTGCCGGTGTAGACAACACTGTGTTGGCGGGAGAGCTTCTCCCGCTGACATAGCTACTGTCTCTCGTGGAAGTGGAGTAATTAAGTCGACAGGAGAGCTCTCTCCTGTCGTCTTAGAGCATCTTCACCAGATGCACTACAGCCGTGCAGTTGCATTGGTGCAGCTGCGCTGCTGTAGCACTTCTAGTGAAGACTAGCCCTGACTGAGCGCCATCCATTCTGTGCACTGAATGAGGTAGGGATCCGCTGGAAAAAATAGTACAGGATCATGTTATTGAAGACTGTATCATAATGTGTTAGCATAAGGGAGCCAAATTAAGGTTTCACAGGCAACTATAATTCTGTGTTCCCTAATGTTTCAGTGCTTGACTTTGCAATCTTAATAGTGGTCTATTAATCTAGTTATTTGTGTGTAATATTTTTATATACTGAGAAGACATATATCCAGGTTGATTCCCACATAAGGATGGTTTAAAAACCAAACAATTGGGAGACACAAAGCACAGTGCAAACCAAGAGATGAATGATTGTGCAACTAAGGTGACAAAGATGGAAACTAGTGACATTTTCTGCTTCCCTGTTGAAGAAATCAGGGATTGTGGAAGTGACTTCCTCACCCTATCTATTCGGAAAAGACTTTCCATCAAAGAGTGAGGGAGTAGGAGCTTTCAGTGTGGCTACGAGTTTGGCAGGGAAGGCTTGGTGAAGAGGAATCAGTGGATTCATGGGTCCCCTAGGTTTAGGGAACTGTTGCAGGCTGTGTTGGGGAACTGAGTGAGTCTGCTGAGCCTCTGCATCTCACAGCCAGACTGGGAAAGTCTCCCTTTCCCTCTTTGATACAGGAATTAAATTAGGCACCTCCCATTCTGAAGATAAGTATCTTTTGTCCCCACAAAGTTCTCAGCTGAAGCCCCGGAGAAGTGCAGGGGATGGATCCTAGGAAAGTCCAACCTTGCAGGAGACATTGGGTAGAACAATTCCATTGAAATTCCAGCAAGGAGTGAGAAATTAGCAGTGGTTGAAAACGTAAACAACAATAACATTCTTATTGGATTAAGTCACTGTAAAGTCTATTGACTTTTCTCACTATCCATGTTCTCCCAACACACACAAGACTGGTGGGTAAGGGCTGAGTTCAGTGGGGATAACCCCCCAGTTACTTTCCCCAAGTGGGTAACAGGTGGAGGCTTCTTACTGGGACTAGTTGCTGTGCGGAATCTAGAAAGCCAGGTTCACCCTTTGGTGACTGTCCAATTTGTACCAGCAGATTTACTGTAAGGGGGGAAGAGGTTAGACATCAGTGCCTGGTGACTCACACCAAGCAGCAGGGGAGTGGCCATACTGTGTACCACAAAGGACCTAGTCATCTGATGTCCAGATCACAGTGCGGAGACAAAAGTTAGCTCCTTGTTTCTAGGAGTGCCTTGGCTTAATGCTCTGAGTTGAGGAGGAGTGACAGGAGAGTCAGTCGCCAATGCCAAAGAAATTTCACTTTTGAGAGGGAAATCAATGTGCACTTTTATAAATGTTTCCACACTTAATCATCTCCCTGGTGTTTTTTGCCCAACAGGTTTGTGGGGAACGAAATAGATCTTCCTGGTCTTGCAGACCATCCTGTCTGAATCAGGCTGAGATGGGAAATGCAGAGGCTCTTCAGACTGTCACACTTTGAGGATCCAGAGGATTGTCCTTTGGTTGCAGTTAGAAACCCCATTGCTGAGTTTTGTGCATGGAAAATGAAGTCACACAATGAAGTCACACAAATGAGGGTCATTCTTGTCAGTTGTCAGCTTGTGCGGATCAAGGAGTGAGTGGTTCACATTCTTTTCCAGGTGCAAGGCACACTCCATTGCTGTCAGCCCATTCTCCCAATCATCACGATCTGGTTTCTTGATGTCCTGCTGTGTGCAGTACTTCCAGCTAGAAGCCTTCAAGTACCAGAAGAGAAATGCTCCCAGAATCTTGACAATGTTTTAAAAATCAAGAGATTTAACATAATCTGCCACATTGTCGTTCATCTACCTTCCAGTTTTCCAGCAAATCAATCAGTAAACCACTGGCTCTTTCCTTTGGCATTTTTGTTTGGGGAAATGGTAAATTCCTGAGTGGGTACTACATAAGAACAGCCCTACTGGGTCAGACCAAAGGTCCATCTAGCCCAGTATCCTGTCGTCCGACTGGCCAGTGCCAGATGCCCCAGCAGGAATGAACAGAACAGGTAATCATCAAGTGATCCATCCCCTGTTGCTCATTCCCAGCTTTTGGCAAACGGAGGCTAGGGACACCATTCCTGCCCATCCTGGCTAATAGCCATTGATGGACCTATCCTCCATGAATTTATCTAGTTCTTTTTTGAACCCTCTTATGGTCTTGGCCTTCACAACATCCTCTGGCAAGGAGTTCCACAGGTTGACTGTGCGTTGTGTGACAAAATACTTCCTTTTATTTGTTTTAAACCTGCTGCCTATTAATTTCATTTTGTGACCCCTAGTTCTTATGTTATGAGAAGTAGTAAACAACACTTCCTTATCTACTTTGTCTACACCAGTCATGATTTTATAGACTTCAATCATATCTCCCTTTAGCTGTCTCTTTTCCAAGCTGAAAAGTCCCAGTCTTATGAATCTCTTCTCATACGGAAGCCATTCCATACCCCTACACTGTCTGAGTTCACAGGGGACTGGGCATGAAAAGTTTAAAAGTGACAAGGAGGGCAATTTGAAGCCCATGCTGGCCTCCTGGTCCCCTGGCTTAGTCTGGCCAAGTGGATCACAAAGGGAGAAAAAGGAAACGGTCTACAGGCGGATGTTGACAATCACATCTCCCAGGCGCCACATGGTGTGTGGATGCCAGGACTGGTGGATGGTGTGTAAAGCGCAACTTCTCTAGATGTCCAGAGACCACTACATCTCCTGGGTGCTGTAGGGTGTATGGAGGCCAGGATTTGTGTACCCTGTCCCATGAAATATGGGGACTTCAACTAATGCCAAAGTCTCCACGTGGGGCAGTTGGAAGTTCCATGCCAACCTCCTAGTCTGGCCCAGCAGTTGGGAAAAAAATTGTATTCACTTGTAAACTGCAAATTTCCTATAGAAATGATTGAAATATGCAACCCTTTGATGCCATTTTTACTTTGTCACTTTTGAGAGTGTAGCCACAGTTTTAAAAAGTGTTGTCCAGGGGTGGCCACTAGACTTGGACACAGGAGACCTGGATTCTATCCCTTGATCTCCCTCTGACCTGTTGGATGACATCTGGCAACTCACTTCACCGTGAAGTTTAATGTGAAGTAGTGTTATTTTAATTTCAGTTAAATCCAGAGATTTCTTGCCATTCCCGTCTTTTCCTAGAATAATGAATTTCCACTTGGCCAGGAACCTAATCAATAGCCACAGCCTCATAGCAATGTTTGCATTGGGGTATTATAGCCCTGCCCATGTTAAAAATATCTTTCTTCCAGCTTGAAAAAATTATTCTCCTAAATAAATGTTGATTTTTGTAATATACAGTCCCAGGCCTGACAATTTTGCCTATTTTTCAGGGAGTGTCTGTCTTTTGCAGGAATTAAATGCTATTCACCCCACAAGGCAGGAAATTTCTTGTAGGGTAAGGCAGGATTTTAGGACTGTATCTGTATGAAACTATTTTGATTTGTATCAACGCTAAAGAACAATAGTTTTGGTTTTGGGGAGCTTCCCAATCTATTGACACTTCCCTCCTAGGACTGCTGATCTGAAAGGCATAATCATCCACAGGTTGTGCTCCTTGGAAATATTTCCTATCAGTTAGGGGATTTGTGAAGTGAAGTAAGAAGAAAAATAACCACAAGGTACAGTAAGATCTCACTGATTCACTCTGATGACCAGAAGGTTCATTGTGCATCACTGAATTTTTGCAGCTTAGTAAGTAAAGACTCAGTCTGACACCCATTGAAATCAAGTATGATAATAGTTCATAAATGATAAATGTTTTGTAGTACAGGCCTGCTCCATCTCCAGCTGAAGACAATAGGAGATTTGCTATTAAATTCAAAGGGTAGTAAGATTGAGCCTATATTTTGCTACACTCATACAATAATATGAGACCTCTCTGCATCAGTATTAAATATCATTGCTGTACTATTAAATCTTTACTTAAAAGTGTGGCTAAGGAGTCATTTTTGTTTGTGAATGCTGAGTTTCTATTGTCCTGCAGCTAACACTTATTTTTGTATTTTTTTTATATAGACTGGCTCCTCTTATACATATTTTTACTATTCAAGCAGTTCTACCTGAGAAGAACTAGAAACGCTTCTGTGTCTGTTATATGTGAATTTGAAATATAAAATACAAGAACGTAGTGGCCTTGTTAAAGAAATACATTTAAAATTTCACAGGCCAGATTTCACAGCACCTGATGCTTAAACACGAAGGCTAGGTTTTTCAAAAGATCCTAAGTGACTAAGGTCAATAGGACGTGAGCTTCTAAGACATGTTTAGGTGTTTGAAAATGTCACCCTAAGTCTAGTAATAATTATGTTTGAAATGTATAGCAGGGCTATTCAGCCAAGCTTTGATTCCAGGAAATACAGTTAAATCAAAATCCAGAAGAGGGAGCCCTCTATCAAAATAAGATAATAAACTGAATTATTACCAAAATTCACAGAAGTTTCCACTTTCTTTTCCACCCACTTGTAAACCCCTCTGGATTATTTAACCTATCTGACTATACTTAAAAGACTAGCAGCTCACAATTTCTATCTTTAAACAATATTATTCAATATCTGAGAAGCATGCTTGTGATTTTTATCTGTGGCTGGGCATATCAGATGTGGAACCTGGTCCACATAAAAGAAGTTGTTTCCGTTATCCCCAAAAGCGAAACAGTTGTGTGACCTGTATTCAGATTAGTTAGGGAGGAGGTTTCCATTCCATTCCATTCCGAAAGCAGCATGGAAACCTTGGGCCCAATCCTGCTCCCATTGAAGTCAGTGGAACGTTGCCATTGTTTTCAGTAGGAGAAGAAACAGGCCCTTTGTTATAACAGATGATGTTTATGCAGGAATCTCCTTACACCCACTTAAAGTGTTTCAGCTCCCACAATTTGTATCAGAATGAAAAGGTTATTTTGCCGCAGGTATGTGGGGTGTTATTTTTTATGTGTACTGCACTCTCTGTTTAACCATTTCAGTACCACCACCCCCATACATTCATCCTGAGGACCCTACTGTCTGAATGAAGCTGCACTGATTTACTCTCTATCTGGATTTCAGCTGGAATCCATTTGCATGACTCGAGTTTACTTTAAAGATGATGTTCAGCAGGAAAAAAGTAGGTTTGTGTGGTTGTTTTTCTTCTTTATACCAGTTATTTATTTCATTTATTTATTTTTTTAAACTAATAAATAGCAGGAATGTCAAGTCAAGCGTGGTCTTCTCTTGTTATGCAGGAAAACTCAATGGACGTCTCAGATGTGGATTTTCAGCTTCCTTTGCCCTTAATCCTACCATTTTTCTCTGTAGTCCGTAAAGTCTTCAAGTAAAAAAAAATAGACAAACCAAAAACAGGGTAAACAAGACCTGAATTTCTAATGCAAAACAAATCTAACAACCATACAACAGGCTGGAAGATATCCCTTTCAGGCAGTGCTTAATTTGTAATGAAAGAGATGCTGGGGCTCAAGCAATTAGGTGCTTTCGTAACTGATGCGGCAAGCCCAGAGATACCGGAGCTCTGAACTGCCAAGCTGAGTGGAGCTGGGGCTCAGTCCTGGCACAAATTAAGTGTGCATTCAGGCTTCTTTTATAAACATCTAGTTAGAAATGAAGGCCGCTCCAGGATTCACAAGGGAGTATAAGCTTCCCAGAATCAGCCACTTAAAGGCATGATTTTGCCCCTGAGGTAAATCCATCTTGCCTGCCTCTCTGGGCTTGTCTTCACTGCTAAAAATTGTGTCATTTTTTTTTACCTCAGGATAAACAACCTGCACCCCCTCCAGGGGATGACCTTAGCGAGTTTACCTCACAATAAAACTGAAATGCCTGGTCTTCATTGTGTTTTTACCTCAGGATAGCTCGTTTGTGTTAGTTACCCTGAGGTAAACATGCACAGTATTTTTGCATGAACACAAAGCCTCTGTGCTGACCGGAGCACTAAGTGCAGCAGAAGCAGGACACTTACACTGTGCTCTAGAGGGCAAAATCTCAGCACCCAAGAATAGGGATTTTGTACTGCCATAGAGCTGGGCAGGGGCAAAGGAATGGCGAGTGGATCCAGGACTATGCAGATCCACTTGCCAAGCCCCCGACTACTGGAATTAATGTCCCTGGGTCAACTCTGCTACTGTTCTTTAGCTTGTGGTGGAAGGGAGGTTTCCATTCCCCATATGCCCCTCCTTCTCCTCCACCCCGCAGTTCATACCACTCAGCACACTTACCAGGGCTGTGTCCTGAGACTATGATTTGTCCCTTGATGTCTATTTGAATTAATGCAGATCCACATTGAATAAGCACTGTAGGCACGACTTTACAAGGGAAATTTATTGATACGGTACATATTATATGGAAAAATCTAAATACAAAAGAAGGAATGAGTCAAAAAGTTTTAAATTGGACCCTAGCAAGTTAAGTTTGCAATATACTTTCCATCAACTTATTCAGTATCCTGTACTTTACTCTGCTGTAAAGTGGTTAATACTAGTTTCCAATATTCTAACCTTATATAGTAAGTGCTTATACATGTAGCAAAGAGAATGAGAGGAGCCACTAAAATAAACATATCTACAGTATTGTATATATGAAGATTTCATTGTGCTTTTAAATATGTGTGTTTCTGATTGCTGTGCTATGTCCGATAAGCATTTTACTGAGGAAAAAAACCCTAATAGTATACTTGGAAGGATGCAGAAGTTGTTGCTAATTGGATCAATAAAGGCTGGCCTTCCAAATTGAGCTATGAAAGGGAAGGAACTGGTGGAACCTCCCATCTTGTCCGACTGCCAGAATGTGAGATTAGGCAGGCAAATTCTCTTCCTCAGGTCCAAGCCTTGAAGGGTGAGATCACCCTAGCAAATTAACCCTTGCTGGAAGGTGTGAGTGGATTGGTAAATTAGATAGCTTTGCACTTCTAGAAGAAGGGCTTGAATAGGACCCCAAAGCAATGCACCTTTTGTTTACATTGCTTATGCTTAAACTAGGCGCAAGGGGAAAATAATGGATGATCTAATGGTTTACAAACTATGCTTTCCATTCCAAGCTGAAGAAACTTTATAAAAAAGGCAACACACTCTGTTTTCACACTGACATTTGGTATTTTAATAAAATACAGCCTAATTTTTTTTTTAAAAAAAAGATATAAATCAAATCAATGCTATAACAGAGCTCATGGGATCACTGTATAATGCCCTTAAAATAACCCAGTAATAAATGAAAAAGCCTCCTACTGCCCAAAGACAACCAGTTAACTTCCTTATATAAAGCTGTAGGTCTTTTATTAGGCTACAAAACCATTTCAAACAAATGAAAACCAAATGTGCAAAAAATGTGAGGGGTGTGCGTGTGCGCCAATCCCTTGTACTAAAATAGTATGAGCCCCTGGGCTCTTTAAACTAAGATCTGCCTCAATCACTCCCACTGGCGGGCTTGTACTTTCACGAGTGAATACAGGGCGCATCTTTTTAGAAACATGCTGCATCCTTGTGTTAGTTAGAGGATTTATACATACAGTAACTGTATGGGAGAGATTAAGAAACTGTTCTGTATGGAACTATTCAAAGTAAAGAACCCTGAGATACGCAAAGCATGATGCAACTCAGATTGGCACATGTTGTTCTCCAGCCCAAAATAGTTGCTATTGTAGAAACAGTTTTTTTAAATATTCACGTGCAAAAGCTTTCAACTTGTACTAAATCAATGCCCCATCTGGTACTATTGTGCATTCTTGTACTAAATAGACATGGGGCCAAAAGAAGCCCTGGTGTAAATGATCCTATTGCCATGAATTGCATCTGCTTACAACAGGGCTGAATTTTGCCCACAAACTGCAACTGGTTGCTCTGTGAATGTAAATATATATATTATCCTTCTATGAACATACACTTAGCTTATGTCTGGTGTAGGATTCTGCTTTTCAGTGATTGCTTGCAAATTGGAGAACAGTTTTAATGTTTTATTAATAAGAGAGCTTAGTTTCTTTATATTACACCTCTAGGCCCTGCTTCAGCTACCCTTACTTATGTAAGCAGTAACACTGACCTAAGTGGAACTATTCCATGATTAACAGCAGTAGGATTGGGGCCTTAGGCCTTTAGGAATTCTTTTCTGGATGGAAATAAGATAATAACTCCTTGGCAAGGATTCAAGCCAGGCTGCTGTAGCCAAGAGAGTGCAACAATTGGAACAGCAATTAGATATGTTATTATGTGTGACAAGCCTTAATGGGCCAAATATGGGCTTCACTCACTAAGAACCCTGTCTTATGAACACCCTAATTGGGCCCCATTCTATCCAGCTCCTATTTAACTCAATGGCTAAACTCTCTTGGATGTCTATCTATCTATGCAAGCTTTCATGTTATGCTCTCACTGGAGTAGCTGAGGCCCGGATCCACAAACCCACACTTAGGCACCTAAACCTCATACTTACGCACCTAAATTCTGATTTTGACTGCACTGTGATCCACAAAAACTCCCGCTGAACCCTGTAGGCACCTAGGCTCACTTGGTGTTTAAGTTTTCAGGGTAACCATTCCCTCAGCACCTATATTTTTGCCTCTGAGCATGTGTACTGCTGCCTCATTCTAGGTGTCCAGACACCTATCTCCTGCCTAAGCCCCAGAGCTATTAAAAACTAGGGGAAGACAGGCATTCAAAAGCCTATGTCATGTGCGGGGGCTCTTTCCAGTAGGTGAGCTCAGACGTTGCCTACTGGATTGGGTCCCATTTGAAATCACAGAGATGTGGGAAACCCAGGTTCAAGTCCACCCTCTGCTAGAGGGGGAGAAGGCATTTGAACAGGGGGGCTCTCATCGCTCAAGAAAGTGGTCCAAAAACTGGGCTAAAAGTTACAACTTGGGCTCCTCCTACTCTGTGATTTTGAATGGGACCTGATTCAGTAGGCAGCCTCTGAGCACATCCGCTGGATCAGGCCCCGTACATGACTTAGGTGGTCAAATGCATGTCTTCCCCTGGTTCTTGAATCAAACTTAAAAGTTGCAATACCTTAGTCCCATCATGGATCCCACCTTGAGGTCTATGGTAGTAGGACAGAGACACATTAATTTGCCTCATTCAGGGCTTGATTTTGCACCACTGAAGCCCATGGGAGTTTGGTCAGTGACTTCAGTGTGAACGATCCCTGAATGTGCACTTTGCATGGGACAGGCCATCCTACTGGTGCCTACAGTCAAATAGTTACAGATTTTCTTTAAAATCCCATTGGAAATTCTGTAGGAGCCCTGCCTCATTCACTATGGATATTGCAAGGTGTATGATGATTAAAGTAGGTCTGCAAAAACCCTTCCCTTGTTTACTGTGTATATAAATGAGTTTACTGGTTTCTCTTTGGATTTGCAGACTACTACCCAGTAGCAGAAGATATTACATGTGTGTCTAGGGTGGTATAAAAAATATAAAATTAAGTCAATGGGTAAACTAAATATTGCATTTGAGAAATAGTATGTGATCATGCAATTAAAGTCTACACCATAATGCATATGCATAAAGGGGTGCAGTTATATTTTGACACCCAAACGTAACTTGAGCATTTTCTGACTTTTGAGTATTTAACTGTGCTTCCCTTAATGCAGGTGGCGGTGCTTGTTTGTTTGTTTGTTTGTTTGTTTGTTTAGGAATATAGATTGTATTTGCCATTTAGTCTTCTGTGGAATGATGTATGACATTTGGTCAAATGCATTTTGCTTTCAGAATAAATTATAAAGTACTTAAGTAGATTTCATTACACATTATATTTAATCTCCACGCAAAATGCATTCTGTGTAAATATTGCTTTTTATTATAAGGGCAAATTGTATACTGTCCACGACTGAATTTCATTGTGGGGAGCTATACAATTTGTCTAACCATTCTAAGGAAAAAGGACATCAAATACATATGAGCAACTCTATTGTTGAAATGAATTTTAATCATGTTTATCATCCTTCCAGATACACTGTATAATGGAATTTGATAAATTTCATTCTCTGGATCTCATTCTGATCACTGATGAGAGATTAATGTTACAACATTCCAATGGCAGCAAGCTGGATTCTTGCTCTTAATAAGATGTTGATAATACAGACACCAGTAATTTATCTATTACTTAAGAAAAGTTAAATCAGATCCTATGGAAGGGGGAAAATGAAGTAGGTGAGAAGTAATACATACATGGCCTAAATAATCTAGGTAAGCAGCTGGAGGTCTTCAAGGCCTAATTTAATTACTTCTGGGGAATGGTTTTGTTTTGATCTTGTAAAACAAGATTGAGAGTCAGGAGACTTGGATTCCATACTTGGCTTTCCCACAGACTTTGCTACATGACCCTGGGAAAGTCTCTTAGGACCAACCCTGCACCATGGAAGGTAACAGGAATTTTTCTTCAGTGAAGGAGCCAAATCATACTTTTATTTACACCCCATATTCTTCATAGAAATATTATGATATGAATATGGCATAACTAAGATATGTTTTATGCAAGATGGGTCATGTGCGGTATCATTGAAAAGGTTATGATCTACTAAATGTGTTTATCCAATTTGTATGCATGTATCATTTCTGTGTCTGAAGTTAGGAATATTGACTACATAACAATTACAACTGTGTATTTACTTGGGGGAATGCCCACCAGACAGTAGTGATCATTCAATCAGCCTGAATGAGCCACTTAATAAGGACAATAGAACTTTGAAGATACTAATCTCCCACCATTGAGGGAGGGGGCGAGTTTTATGAACTTGCATTTTACAGATCTCTCTATACAGCACAAGACAATATTGTTTTGGGGTTTACACTCCAGATGGTGTATGCACTGAAGTGCTGACCATTCCCCTAGTTGAATCCTCCTACACAGAACTGATTTCAGTCTGTGTCTGCAGCTTGGTGTGGCCTTGCCTGGGTGTGTGCTAGAAAGGGGCTTGAGAGCCTGGCACAGCAACCCAATGCAAGGGAAACCCAGGCTGGTCGGACCGCTGGGCTCAGTGGGACCCCAGCACATCTGGTGCTACCCTGAAAGGGAGGTCCAACCTGTCATCCATACCCTTTCTGTGCTCCAGTTCCTTCATATATAAAATTTGGATAACAGCACGTGCCTATCTCACACAGATGTTGCTAATCTAAATCACTTAATATTTGTGGAGTGCATTGGGCACTTCAGATGGACCTTGTTCTTTAGTTCCACCAACATAGGCTTTTGCTACTGGAGCTAACAGAGAACTCCTTAACTGCTAGTTGCAGCAGGTCCCTTATTCTTTGCGTAGGTCAGCCATTATAGGGCAACATCATTATCACACACTCAAACTTTGCAAACTTTTGCATTATCACACACTCCACACTTTGCGTAGGTCAGCCTCACCTCAGTCCCTGGAAAAATCATGGAGCAGGTCCTCAAAGAATCAATCCTGAAGCACTTGCATGAGAGGAAAGTGATCAGGAACAGCCAGCATGGATTCACCAAGGGAAGGTCATGCCTGACTAATCTAATCGCCTTTTATGATGAGATTACTGGTTCTGTGGATGAAGGGAAAGCAGTGGATGTATTGTTTCTTGACTTTAGCAAAGCTTTTGACACGGTGTCCCACAGTATTCTTGTCAGCAAGTTAAGGAAGTATGGGCTGGATGAATGCACTATAAGGTGGGTAGAAAGCTGGCTAGATTGTCGGGCTCAACGGGTAGTGATCAATGGCTCCATGTCTAGTTGGCAGCCGGTATCAAGTGGAGTGCCCCAAGGGTCGGTCCTGGGGCCGGTTTTGTTCAATATCTTCATAAATGATCTGGAGGATGGTGTGGATTGCACTCTCAGCAAATTTGTGGATGATACTAAACTGGGAGGAGTGGTAGATACGCTGGAGGGGAGGGATAGGATACAGAAGGACCTAGACAAATTGGAGGATTGGGCCAAAAGAAATCTGATGAGGTTCAATAAGGATAAGTGCAGGGTCCTGCACTTAGGACAGAAGAACCCAATGCACAGCTACAGACTAGGGACCGAATGGCTAGGCAGCAGTTCTGCGGAAAAGGACCTAGGGGTGACAGTGGACGAGAAGCTGGATATGAGTCAGCAGTGTGCCCTTGTTGCCAAGAAGGCCAATGGCATTTTGGGATGTATAAGTAGGGGCATAGCGAGCAGATCGAGGGACGTGATCGTTCCCCTCTATTCGACATTGGTGAGGCCTCATCTGGAGTACTGTGTCCAGTTTTGGGCCCCACACTACAAGAAGGATGTGGATAAATTGGAGAGAGTCCAGCGAAGGGCAACAAAAATGATTAGGGGTCTGGAACACATGACTTATGAGGAGAGGCTGAGGGAGCTGGGATTGTTTAGCCTGCAGAAGAGAAGAATGAGGGGGGATTTGATAACTGCTTTCAACTACCTGAAAGGGGGTTCCAAAGAGGATGGCTCTAGACTGTTCTCAATGGTAGCAGATGACAGAACGAGGAGTAATGGTCTCAAGTTGCAGTGGGGGAGGTTTAGATTGGATATTAGGAAAAACTTTTTCACTAAGAGGGTGGTGAAACACTGGAATGCGTTACCTAGGGAGGTGGTAGAAGCTCCTTCCTTAGAGGTTTTTAAGGTCAGGCTTGACAAAGCCCTGGCTGGGATGATTTAACTGGGAATTGGTCCTGCTTCAAGCAGGGGGTTGGACTAGATGACCTTCTGGGGTCCCTTCCAACCCTGATATTCTATGATTCTATGAAAACAGCACACTAGGACTTGAGCCAATGTACATTGAAGTCATGGGAATTCTTATCCTTGACTTCACTAGCTTTTGGATTAGGTTTTGATAGGGTGCTATATACATGCACAAACAAGCAAGATTGAGGAAACCCCATATCAATTCCTGATCTGAATTGACTCCCTTAAGTTACTTTTATGGACCTGGGTCTCCACATCACTTTTGGCTTCAGCCTATCAGCTTTTTATGTTTTTATAAATCGTGTGTGTGTGTGTGTGTGTGTGTGTTTACATTTAAAAAAATAAACATTAAAACAGCCATGACCATTACAACTTTTGCCCCTGTTTGGCTAGGAGCATGCAAGGGTCACCAACCCAGTCCACCTATGGAGAGAGAAAACAAGAAGAGAAGAGATAGGAATAACAACAAAATAAACCATCTTAAACTGGTATTTGCAGTTTAATCTCACCAGGAGACTGCAATAATACATTTCTACCAATGTGTGGTGCTGCGTGTGACGATAAATCAGCTGTACTCCCAGGCTTGATTCCTTAATGGTTCCTTAATGGTGAAGTAACCATTGCTGGGTTTTTTGGGCTACTGGTCTTCAAAGAAACCCCAGAACTCCAAAGAAACATTCCCTTAAGGTAGGAATGTTTCTCTAGTGTAGTAGAAATAGGAATGAGGGGGCCTACCTTTGTAGTATGTACTCTGCAGTGGGTTCCTCCTCTGTTTCTCACTTGAACTCCTTGTTAGGTTTTAGGAAAAGGTTTGATGTAATTTAGGTTTATTTCTAGGTTAACTCTAATCACTCTGCCTCATATGCCTTCTTTTTCTCACTGGTGGATTGCTCCAGAAGAATGTCACTCCTAGCTTGTAAACAGTCCTAGTTCTAAACTTGCCAAAGCCCAAATGTGGGTGCAAGATGTGACAAAAAGTTAAAATACCCAAAATGGAGGGATACACAAATTGTATATGCAGGAAACTTAAAATGCTGTGGTATTCATCTGTGTAAACAATGTTTCCTTTAGCCATAGTTTCACAATTTTTTTATTTCTGATATAAAGAATGTCCAATAATAAATGTGAGGGGATGACAATTTTGTGTGGTAATATATAACTTTGAGACTAAAATGAGTGATTATTCCTCAAAATGAGGGACACCTGTTTCTGAAAGGTATGTGAATAGTATGGGTTTAAATTCTACCTTCAGATAGTCATGCTGAACCTTCATTCTACCTTCAGATAGTCATTCAGATAGTCATGGTGAGTTGCACGTGCGTATCTGGGAGCAGAATTTGGCCCATGATGTCAGAAGACATGCAGACTGTTAAGATTTTGAGGGGATGTTTTTTTATCTCTTCTTAATGGGCAAACCCCTATGAGAGTTGCAAGGTTTCTTGGGAAGGTGATCTAGGACTGTGTCAGAACTTCAAATAGTTATTTGGTTAAACTTTGGGCAAGTCACTTTGAAATATTTGTTAGAAGCTTACTAATTAGGAAGTTGTTATTGATTTATTGTCTGTAATATGGTAGCAGCTAAGACCCCCAATCTGTATTATGGTAGCATCTAGGACGCCCAGTCAAGGATTACAGTCCCATTGTGCTAGGTACTGTATAGTCACAGAACAAAGAAAACAGTACCTACCCTTGAGGGCTCACAGTACAGTTGCTGTGATAGACAGGATATGACAAAAGGACATAACAAACAGACTCCTGTCCTTCACCACTGTGAGATGAACAGAACAGAAAATGAACAGAATTGAGAAGAAAAGCAGACATGTTGGCCCTTTCTCTTTGCAGTATCTGTGGTGTGGCCACCTCTACTGCTGCTCTTACTGTCTTCCTCATGGACAGTTCTGATGATAGCTCAGCACAGGTTGTGGGAGAATCAGGAGAGGTTACGAAGAAGTGCTTCTA